CTCTTTTGGTAGTTAATTGGAGAGAAGAGTCTCAAGGACTTTCTTGCCCTGAGTTGGCTTTTTTAATCCTTAGATCTCAGCTTCCTAAGTAGCTAGGATTGCAGACATGAGACAAGCCACCTCTGGATTTTATTACTGAACCAAGTCAATGATCCTTTTATTTTCTGAGGAATTCATTATGCCTATGATTACAATGTCTGTATTTTCATCCCCCCTTGGAGATGGTGTTTTGCTGTTTTTGTTTTTGTTTTCTTCCTTTGAATAGCTATGAGTTTTACCTCTGGGTTCTTCATGAATTTTCCAGTTGCAACTTTACCTCCTCTCAAAAGGAATAAATCAAAGCAAGGAGCCAGTGGCTCATACCTATAATCCTAGGTACTCTGGAGACTGAGGTCTGAGGATTGTAGCTCAAAGCCAGACTAGGCAGGAAAGTCCATGAGATTCTTATCTCCAATTAACCACCAGAAAAACCAGAAGTGGTGCTGTGGCTCAAATGGTAGAGCGCTAGTCTTGAGCTGAAGAGCTGAGGGACAGTGCCTAGGCCCAAGGTTCAAACCCCATGACCAACAGCAACAAAAAAAAGGAATAAATCAAAAAAGCCTGTAATTTCAACTATGAAATGTTGAGAAAGTAACAACCTTATGTAAATAAATATTGAGCTTAAGCTTTGACAAAGAAATGGCAAATCTTCCAAAAAAGTGAAGGGAGAATAAACTTTATACCAAGATATAACTGTGATAATATAAATAACTTTGCATTCAAGAAAGGTTATCCATATGCAATGTAACCATGCAAATATAATCTATTAAAAAACAGGAGCTGGGCGCCAGTGGCTCACGGCTGTAATCCTAGCTACTCAGGAGACTAAAATCTGAGGATCGCAGTTCAAAGCCAGCCTGGGCAGGAAAGTCTGGGAGACTCTTAGCTCCAATAAACCACCAGGAAACTGGAAGTGGCGCTGTGGCTCAAGTGGTAGAGTGCTACCCTTGAGCTGAAGAGCTGAGAGACAGTGCCCAGGTGCAGAGTTCAAGCCCTACAACCGATAAAAAAAAAAAAAAAAAAAAGAGGAGCCGGGCGCTGGTGGCGCACGCCTGTAATCCTAGCTACTCAGGAGGCTGAGATCTGAGGATCGCAGTTCAAAGCCAGCCCGGGCAGGAGAGACCATGAGACTCCTATCTCCAATAAACCACCAGAAAACCGGAAGTGGCACTGTAGCTCAAGTGGTAGAGCACTCGCCTTGAGCTGAAGAGCTGAGGGACAACGCCCAGGCCCAGAGTTCAAGCCCCACGACCGACAAAAAAAAAAAAAAAAAAAAAAGAGGATGGAGGAAACCGAAACAGGAAAAGAAACTGGAAAAGAAATATATGGGAAAAAAAGAAATATATGGCTATGAAATCCAGAAGGCCTGCAGAATCATTCAATATTCATTTTATAAGAATTCATTGCTGAGATATATTTTTTTGTGTGTCTGTTTGCTTGCCTATCCCAGGGCTTGAACTCAGGGCATGGGCACTGTCCCTAAGCTTCTTTTGCTCAAGGCTAGCATTCTATCACTTGAACCACAGTGCCACTTCTGGCTTTTTCTGTTTATGTGGTACTGAGGAATCAAACCCAGGGCATGCTAGGCAAACACTCTACCACTAAGCCACATTCCCAGGCCCTGCTGAGACATTTTCTATGTAGTCCAGACTAGCCTCAAATTCATGATGCTTCTATCTTAGCCTCCCAAGTGCTGAAATTTATCAATGTGCACCACCATATCTGGCTAGTACATTGACTCTACCACTTGAGTTATATACTTGTCTTTACACTGACTTAAAAATTTTTAATTTTTTCATAAAGGTGATGTACAGAGGGTTACAGTTGCATAAGTTAGGTAAAGAGTACATGTCTTTTTGGTCAATGTTATGCATTGACTTTTTTTTTTTTTTTTGGTCATGGGGCTTGAGCTCTGCACCTTGGCACTGTCCCTCAGCTCTTCAGCTCAAGGCTAGCATTCTACCACTTGAGCCACAGCACCACTTCTGGCTTTTTTCTGCTTATGTGGTGCTAAGGAATCGAACCCAGCGCATCATGCATGCAAGGCAAGCACTCTACCACTGAGCCACCATCCCAGCCCATGCATTGACTTTTGATGGCTGTTTTTCAAACCTGTCTCTACTGTATTGGGAGAATTCTGCACATTTTCCCAGAGGGAGGGTAGGATGATCACCAGCAACCTAGAAGGTACTGAGTAGCAGCCTCTCCCCTCCCCCCCTCCCATCAGCTTCACATCTTCCTCCTTGGGCTTGCCTGTGTTCACTTCCTCCTTTTGCTTTCCTTTCCCTCCTTCTATGTGGTTCCTGTGGAGGACTTAGCTGTCTTTGTCCTTTTACATTCGCTCAGAAGAAAACATGACTTTAACTTTGTAGCTTTCAAAGCCAAAAAGTTAGTTTCAAAGCTGGTTTTCTTTTATTTATTGTTTACTTATTTATTTCATGTAACAGGATTCTATATCCAAGGCTAGTTTCAAGTTCTGTTCCTTCTACCTCGACTTCCTGGGTGCTGGGATTGCAGGCATGAAACTCCATGCTTGACTTTTAAAACTGGTTCCTTTATCATAAGAAGTTTTTACATGTATCTATAGAGATAGATAGATAACTAGATTTAGGTACTCTACTATTAATTTCCTTTTAGGGCCCTGTGTATGTTAGGCAAATGCTTTACCACTGAACTACCAACTAGCCAACGCTAGTAATGATTTCTATTAACAATTGAGTTGTCTTTTTGTTTGTTTGTTTATGTGGTATTGAGGATTTGAACCCAGAGCCTTATGCGTGCTAGATAAGTACTCTAAGCCACATTCCCAGCCTTGAGTTGTCTTTTAATATTGCTCTAGAGAAACATAGATTTCAGATTTCCTCCAATAACTTCATCCACATATTGGTATTTATTTCTGCCAGATCTTCCTATCCATTCTTTTAGTTGTTTTCATGATAGTGAATCCTACCACTAGTTAACTGCCCTCGGGTCATTAAGTATTCCATCAGCAAGCCTTTCAGATAATTTTTCTGTTTATGTTCTAATGTTCTTTTGAGACTTCCATTCCTTCTGTGTGTGTGTGTGTGTGTGTGTGTGTGTGTGTGTGTGTGTGTGTGTGTGCGCCTGCACTGGGAATTGAACTCAGGGCCTAGACACTGTCCCTGAGCCTCTTTTTGCTCAAAGATAGTGCTCTACCACTTTGAGCCACCACACCACTTCCAGTTTTTTCTGGGTAGTTTATTGGAGATAAGAGTCTCATGAACTTTCCATGCTGGCTTTGGACTGCAATCCTCAGATCTCAGCCTCCTGAGGAGCTAGGATTACAGGCATGAGCCACTAGCACCCAGCTAAGATTATGATTCTTTTCTTTAAAGTTGTTCTCATTTTCTGAGGCTGGAGAAATTATTTCTTTTTTTTTTGGGGGGGGGGGGGTCTGGTCATGGGGCTTGAACTCTGGGCCTGGGCACTGTCCCTCAGCTCTTCAGCTCAAGGCTAGCGCTCTACCACTTGAGCCACAGCGCCACTTCTGGCTTTTTTTCTTTTTGCTTATGTTGTGCTGGGGAATCAAACCCAGGGCCTCAGTCATGCAAGGCAAGTGCTCTACCACTGAGCCACCTTCCCAGCCTTGGAGAAATTATTTCTAGGAACATCGTATGCCAGCATTTTTTTTGTCAGCTGTGGGGGTTGAACTCATTGCCTGAGTTCTATCCTCCAGCCTCTTGTGCTCAAGGCTAGCACTCTATCACTTGAGCCACAAAACCACTTCTGGTTTTTTTTTGTTGTTGTTGTTCTTGTTTTTGTTTTTTGCCAGTCCTGGGGCTTGAACTCAGGGCTTGGGCACTGTCCCTGAGCTTCTTTTGCTCAAGGCTAGCACTCTGCCACTTGAGCCATAGGACCACTTCTAGCTTTTTCTGTTTATGTGGTACCGAGAAATCAAACCCATGCATGCTAGGCAAGCAGTCTACCACTGAGCCACATTCCCAGTGTTTTTAGTGGTTTATTGGAGATAAGAGTCTCGCAGGGACTTTTCTGCCCTGACTGCTAAGAACTACAATCCTCCGATCTCAGCCTCTTTAGTAGCTAGGATTATAGGCTCGAGCCACAGAACCCAGCTTCCAGCATCTTAAGAGATCTCTTTCTCTACCTTCCAACCACTCACCAAGTCCTATACTCATGTTCATATGATCCTTCTTGATTGTATCTCTGCATTGGTGTCTCGGAGTTGGCAGGTAGAGCTGCAGGAGAAGTCATAGGGGATCATATTTCTTTCTGAGTTTTACAAACACTGTATCATCTTACCCTCACGGGGGAGGAAATTGAGACCCAGAACAGTAATGAAACCTGGATAAAGGTAACTGGCGTGGTATGATTGGAGCCCCAGCTTGGTGGCCCCAAAGGCCATTTCCTCAACCACAATGACTTTGTACTTTCTTCATGATACTCTTAGTCCAGTCATTGCCCTTGAATCTTGTTGTTTTCTTTGACTAGTTGCTAGATTCCTGGGGATTGTTTTTTTTGTTTTGTTTTGTTTTTGGGTGGGTACTGATCCTGAACTTTTTGCTCAAGGCTAGGGCTCTACCACTTGATTGGCAACTCCACTTCTGGCTTTTTGGTGGTTAATTAGAGAGAAGAGTCTCATAGTCTCTTTCCTGCCCGAGCTGGTTTCAAACCCGTGATCCTAAGACCTCAGCCTCCTAAGAACTTGGTTTACAGATGTGAGTCCCTGTGCTCTGCCCTCGTATTACTATAGTGTTGTCAGAGAAGGATCTCCAATATCTTGGGAAGCAGAGACATTTGGCTTCTGAATAAATCTAATGCAGAGAGGAGCCAGGCTCAGAGAGATTGAGATAGCCTGAAACTCCTCCTATTACAACTTCTACCAACTGGAGAACTTCACCCCCCTCCTTCCACCCCCAGCCATGCCATCTATCCCTTAGCTATATACCAAAGAGAAATGAGCACATTTAGTCCACTAAAAGGTAGGTACAAGAATCTCATAGCAGTTTATTCACAGCAAAACAAACCCAAACAACACAAAAGCCCATCAACAGAAGAATGGGGCAGCAACAGAATACTACTCAGCAATAAAAAGAAACAAACTACTGACGAACAGACAGAACAGCATGAATGAGTCTAAAAGGCACTGTGGTGAATGAAATGCGCTGGGCTTATAGGAATACATTCAGTATGATCCAAACTTGAGCGACAGAAATCATATTAGTAGTTGCATCCAAGCGTTAGGGTAAGAAGGACTGGAGGGGAATGCAAGGAAAGTTTCTGGGGTGATGGGACTCTTGAACTATTTTATATCTAAACCTGAATGATGATAAACCTTTACATGATTACTTCAAGATTTGTATACCTCCATCTGGGTTCTGTGGAGCATCCCTATAATTTCAGCTACTTGGGAGGCAGAGATAGGAGGATCATGATTCAAGGTAAGCCCAGAACAAATCATTTATTGAGATCTTATGGCAAAGAATAAGCTGGTGGTTTGCATGTGTAATTCAGTTACTCAGAAGGTAGAGGTAGAAGAATTGTGGTTCTGAAAGAAGCTTTTGAAATCCTTTTCCAAAATATAACCTTTTGAAATCCTTTTCTGAAATATAATAACTAAAAGCAAAATAAGTTCAGGAGGTAGGGGCACGGTAGGCATGAAGCCTTGAGCTCAAAACCCCAGTATTGGCAAAAGAAAGTCTGTATACCTTACTATACGCAAAGCCCAGCTTTTTAGGGGGTGTGGGGAGGGTAAAAAGGTAAAGAAGAAAAAGGACAAATATTAATGCTGGTGGAAGTAACATGTCAGGTTAGCTTCTAGGTGAGGTGATCAAGTGCCCTGATCTGCCCGAGAATGAGAGACTTCCGGTGCTAACTATGTCCAGGGCAATCCTGGACAGTCAGTTATTTATTTCCCCTGGTAGTTGGGAACTGAAAGAGAGCTCTGGACATCTGGTAGACTGGCTGCTCCAAGCAGTTTGGAGAGAGGCCTGCCCAGAGTGGTTAGAACAGCAGACACCCTGGCTAACAGCAGGAACATTAGGGCTTGGAAAGGCATCTTTCTTCTCTGGGGTCTCCTAAGACTCTTCTAAGGGACAGGAAGCAGGAGTCAGGCTGCTTTTCTTCAGAGCAGGAGGAGGAAAGGCCCAGAGGTGGTTGGGTTGTCCTGATTTCTAGCATCATGGCGCTTGAGCTGGGCTTGGAGATTCTCTCGCAGAGATATCCTCATTTCTCCTTTTTTTTTCAAAGGCTTCTGGCGAAGCCAGTTGCAAACAATTTTGTAGGAACAAAATGGAGGAGTTCTCAGAAGTGACCAGTTTGGACCGTTTCACAGTTGAGACTGTGAGAGACAGTGGAGACAGCAGAGCTGTCCCTTCCCCACGTTCCTTATGACAACTTGCAGGGCTTGAGCTAGGACGAGGGTAGGGGAGACTTTCTCTAGTGTCCCAGAGCACTGGATGGGTAGGGCAAAGACAAGCATTCTGGCTGAGGCGAATGCTCACAGAGATATCACCAGCAGGTCAGGATTGTTTTTGGTTGTTGTTGTTTTTTTTGAAAAAAAGCCCAGGCTAGCCTCCAACTCAAGACCCTCTTGCTTCAGCCTTCCAAGGGCTGAGATTACAGGCATCCGCCACCATTCCCAATTGGTGGCAAGCTCATTTCTGGGGAATGGGAGACTGGAAGCAGGATCCAGGGAGGACAAGCTTAGAAATTCTTATAGTGGTGCACGAAGTGGGCCCGGTCCTGTCTGTTGATGAGCTGGCAGGCCTTCTCCACATTCTTGGTCATTCCTGGAGGGCCACAGCTGAACACGCCGATCTTGTGCACCTGTCAGGTAATTGGAAAGAAAAGGAGAGGCCTAGCCCGGGCACTAATGGCTCACGCCTGTAATCCTAGCTACTCAGGAGGCTGAGATTTGAGGATCACAGTTCAAAGCCAGCCCGGGCAGGAAAGGCCTGTGAGAGTCTTATCTCCAATAAACCATCAGAAAACAGGAAGTGGTGGTGTGGATCAAGTAGTAGAGTGCTTGCCTTTGAGCTGAAGAGCTCAGGGACAGCGCCCAGGCCCAGAGTTCAAGTCCTACAACCAACAACAACAAAAAACAGAAACAGAAAGAAAGAAAGGAAGGAAGGAAGGAAGGAAGGAAGGAAGGAAGGAAGGAAGGAAGGAAGGAAGGAAGGAAGGAAGGAAGGAAGGAAAGGAGAGGTCTGCAGCCTTGTCATGCTCACAACCCCAAAGAAAGATTCTTCCACAGCCTGACCAGAATGACCAGAGTTCTACCCCAGACTCTGGGGAGGAATCTTGAGCTATTTAGGGTTGAAATCCTCTTGCAACAATACCCTACCTTAGCCAGGATAGAACTTCTCTGCTCAAGACAGAGCTAGGGAGGAGGGGGGAGACCTTGAGGACCAAGATATCCTGGCAGGGCAAGACCAGAGTCCCAGGGTGACAGTAGATGACTGACCTGTGGGTGGACCTCCTGCAGGGAGTTGAAGAAGGGCTCAAAGGGCGGGCGGCCAAAGTGGGTGATGGAACGCAGCCCCGTGAAGAGACTCCGGTTCAGCACCTTCTGGAAATGTCGCTCACAGATGTACTGGAGGAGGGGACACGGAGGAAGATCACACAGATGCCACCAGGCCCAACCCCTCACCCAGACACGGGTTCTGCCTGCCCTAGCCCGGCCAGTCGTGACCCACCAGCATGGTGGTCCTGAGGTCGAATTTCTCAGCCAGCTGGGTGATGTAGATGTGCACAGACACCAGGTCCTGGCAGTCATTCTCCTCCACCTCCCGGATGATGTCAGCCAGCCACTCGAACTGCCTCTGGGTCCTGGTCACCCAGATGAAGTAGATCTGAGTGGGGACACACTCTGCTCAGGCTCCGTACAATCCCAAGTGCCTTCGCCTGAGAGACTGGGAAGCCCACCGGCCTGATGCCGGGTCTGACCACACTCCTTCCTCCCTCTGAGTCTGTTATCTGGATAACTGCATGTAACAGCTGCTGAAGACCCCAGAGCCCCAGCACACAGCTTTCCTAACTCTGCTGCAAGGTCAGAACACCATCAAGCCCTGAGTTCCTCAAGGATGGGGGAGGAAGGGAGGGAGGAAGAGAGGGAGGAAGGAAGGGAGGGAGGGAGGGAGAGTTACCTTTTTGCAGAGCATCTGAGTGCCCACTGAGGATTTGAAGACCAAGTCTTTGAGGATGGAGGCAAAAGGGGTGACCCCAATGCCCCCTCCCACCAGCACGGACACCTCAAACTTATGCCACTCCTGGTGGCCTTCTCCAAATGGTCCATCAAGATACAGCTGCCGAGAGAACAAGAGAGAGATGAGCCTGACCTGTCCCAGCATGCAGGCCACAATGGAAGCTGGAGGGAGGGGGGAAGAGGGGGGACACAGACAGGAGGGGACCAGAGCTTCTCCTCTAAGGTACCCCAGCCTCCTCACAGCCTGGCCTTGGAGTGGCTGGAGAGCCTGATCTCCGGGCATGAGAGATTAGGATCTTCAGCCAATGACAGAGACTGAAAAGGGAGATTTGTAGATACCTTTGGGTATCTGGCACAGCTGTCCCCCGTTGGCGGGGAGTAGATCTCCCGGAGCCGAGTGGTCCAGGGTCCTACTGCCCGGATGTGCAGGCTGAGGGTGTCCTCGTGGGGCGCCGAGGTCAGCGTGAAGGGGTGGTACTCAGTGGTCCCCAGGGCCAGGCAAGCGATCTGCACCCACTGCCCTGACTTGTACTCAAAGTCTTGGGGCCGCTGGAACTGCAGGTGGGTTACACCTGGGGGGGGGGAGTGTCATAGGAGGGGAAAAGCATAGATCAGAAGGTCTATTTCTGGGTGGCTGACAACTGATGGGTGTCTGTCCTTTCTACACTGATAAGGCCCAGGGAGTGTCACGTGGTCTGGGTTCCTGGGGACAGAGAATAGGAGCATCCCCATCTTTATTTTGTGGGTTGGAGTTCTCTGCTTCTTTTTTTTTTGGGTCCAGTCGTGGGGCCTGAACTCTGGGCCTGGGCGCTGTCCCTCAGCTCTTCAGCTCAAGGCTAGTGCTCTACCACTTGAGCCACAGCCCTACTTCCGGCTTTTTTCTTTTTGCTTATGTGGTACTGAGGAATCGAACCCAGGGCCTTGAGCATGCAAGGCAAGCGCTCTACCACTGAGCCACCTTCCCAGCCCCAGTTCTCTGCTTCTTTGACCCAGCCTCTCTCTTTTTCTATCCTTCTTCCCATGAAGGGTTCAGGCCTCTTATTACTGCCCTGAATTCCGGCCTGCAGGTAGAGGGGAACTCAAGTTCCCCATCAAACCTGCTACCATCGAACTGATGGTGACTGCCATGCCTTGACCAAGCTGAGCCTCGGGGCCTGCCGGATCTTTCTTGAACAAGGAGGTGCTGGTGAGAACCAAAGGATTACTAACACCGCCGCCAAGACATTTTGGTCGGAGTCAAATGAAAAGGAGAAACAATTTTCTTACAACGTGAGCCCTGAAGATGTGATGGTTATGTGACACCTAAAATCATCTCCACCACCTCCCATAATGATCGGCATCCCTATCGTGGCTAATCCTGACCCAACGACATCTGGACAATCACAGCCATTTCCATGTCTTCATTCTTTCTTTCCTTTTTTTTTTTTGGTCAGCTGTGGGGCCTGAACTCTGGGCCTGGGCGCTGTCCTTCAGCTCTTCAGCTCAAGGTGAGCACCCTACCACTTGAGCCACAGCGCCACTTCTGGCTTTTTTCTGCTTATGTGGTGCTGAGGAATCGAACCCAGGTCCTCATGCATGCAAGGCAAGCACTCTACCACTGAGCCACCTTCCCAGCCCATTTCCATGTCTTCAAAGGACTGTTCTGAGAAAACAGACAACTCCCTGACCTGCACCTCCTATACCCACATCACACATTTAGGGGGTCTTTTGTATCCTCAAACTCCTATGCATCACTTTAGCCACCTCTCCCTCTCTCTCTCTCTTTCTTTCTTTCTTCCTTCCCTTCTTTCTTTCTTTCTTTTTCCTCTTTCTCTCTCTCTTTCTTAGCTTTTTTGCTAAAGGCTATACTCTACCACTTGATCCACTTCTGGCTTTCTTGCTGGGTAATGGCAGATAAAGAGTTTCCCAAACTTTTCTGCCCAGGCCGGTGCTGAATCACAACCTTCAGATCTCAGCCTCCTGAGTAGCTAGGCTTACAGGCGTGAGCCACTGATGCCCAGCTACTCTGGCCTTTCTTTGGGCCAGCTGCATTTCTATCGGGGGAAAGCTTCAGGAGTTCCCAAGAGGGTGTCAGAGGCAGTGCCAGAGGTCAGGAGACCTGTCCTGTGTTGAACCTGAGGAACTGATCTTCGGTGCTCCCCCACCCAAGCTGGCTGGTACCTGAAGGCAGCAGCTCCACCTTCACCACGCTGATCTCCACCTTCTTCCGGCTCAGGCTCACCAGCTTGTCCCCACCAAAGATAATCGCAGGGACCAGGAAGTAGATGTGGAAACTGGGCAGTTGGATGAGAGCGAAGCTGCCGTGGATGATGAGCTGGAGATGATGGCCAATTAATATAGCTCAGTCCCAGCGGGATCCCTGTCCTGCACCCCTGTGCAGACTCCAAGATCTCAAATCTCAGGGACTCAGTCTGAGATCGTAAGTCTCATTCTCCTGCATCCACCTTTATTTACCCTCCACCCCTCTCCTGAGGACCCTCATCTATGGCCTGATACAGCTCAGAAATGTCTTACCAGGGCATAAAGAATGACATAGAGGTGATGAGTCAGCCAGAAACCCCGGAAGCTGCAGCAGCGGAAGTGGTGAGAGGCAAAGACATACATAATGGCCAGGACCAGGAGCAACAGAACTCCTGTCATACCTGGGATAGGCCGGAGGATAGGATCAGTGACTGGTCTCAGGACTGCAGCCTGGACTGAAAAGATAACAATGCACTCCCCCATGTCCCCCTCTCTCCCCTCTCATCTCTTCAGCCCGATTCCAGGCCAGTGTGTATTCAGGGAAATGGAGTCAGACAGACAGACAGACTCACAGGTCCACTTCCTACCTGGAATCGTCTCGAAGAACCACCAGTAGAACTTCTGGGGAAGCTTAGACCTGTGGGGAAAAAGCACATGGTACCTCTGGCTGGGGCAGGAGGGGTTCCACTACAACCACACCCCAAGCTGACTTTGTTCCTCTTGGCCCTGACTGTTGAGGTTATCAGACCCTTCCACCCAGATGGCCAAGAGATTCTTCCAAGAAGTTAATGGCCCTCATTTTCCCATATTCCTCTCCTCTTCACCCTCAGCAATCTTTCTCCTCTGTTATCCTAAACTCTCTTACTGCGGTTGACTCTTTCTGTCTTGAGTATCCAGTCCTTTGTTTTGAGAGCTCTGTGTGGGCAAAGGGTTTCTATTTTACTTACTACTCTACCCCTAGGCTCACAGCTCTACTGACATATGCAGTAGAGATTCAATAAGCATCTGTTGAACATCTGTATCTATTTTGGCATCCCCACTTCCAGGCAAGTGAATCACCACCCAGAACATGGCTCATAAATGTTGGCCTGATGAATGGCTGGTAAACTGATATGGTAAGCTATGTGGTAGGTACTTCTCCTGCTCTTTTTCTGCTTGATCACAGCCAGCATCCTGCCTGAGGGCAAACACGGCACCTTTTATCTTCCTCCGGAGGGCTGGCTTTGTACCTTTACTGGGGAAGGAGTTCAGTGTGGGTATCTTATGGCCATCTATGTCTTCGTAGATCCCCTCAGGTCATGCAAGAGACTCAGGAGACCCCCCCTTCCCCAGAACTGACCCATCATTCACAAAGACGTTGGGGAATACGCAGGCCATCAGGCTGAGGGGGCTGACTGAGAAGATGTAGAAATTCACCACGTGACCAGCACTGTGCAAAACTGAAAGAGAGATCCTTGTCAGAGATGTTAACCAGGGCCGATGACCTCTAGTCCTGCGTGAGAGAGCAGAGGCACCCAGGAGGAGAGAAGAAGACACAGGGAGTTCCCCGGCTCCTCACGGTAGGGGGCTACAGCAAAGGGGGAGAATGTCAGGGGCCACCTACTGGCCAGGATGACAGCCCCCATGGCGATCCAGCGGTGGAAGTCCACGGCGGCATCGAAGGGGATGTAGCGGTTGAGGAAGGTCTCCCGCAGGAAGGTGAGGAGGTTGCGGCACATGGTGAGCAGGATGTAGGAGAACATGAAGGAGATGCTGGCTGCCGTGCCCCGGGACACGATGATGCCCACGTAGGTGGTCTCTTCGATGTCGGTGGGTGGTGAGGAAAACGCATAATCTGGGGCATGGTAGAAGAAGAAGTAGGTTCTTGAGCCCCAATTGGAACATCTGAAGGGGGGCGGGGCGGGGTTCTCGATCCAGGTATTGAGCAGCAAGAAAGGCGACCCAAGCTCCATTCCTCCCTGAAAGCAAGGGGGGGGGGGAACCCTCCTCCCCAGCCCAGAGCTCTTACAGTAGGAACGTTCTGCAAACAGGCCCACACAGATGGCTGAGAAGATTGCGATACACATGATATGACGTCGGTAGTTCTCCACAAAGCGCTTGAATTGCTGTAGTTTCTGGGTGACAAGGCCCCGTTGCATCTTCTCCTGAAGGGCTTCTGTGTACAGCTGGGGAGGGGTCCCCACTGCCCTAGAGAAGGCAACCTGTCATTCTTCCAACTCATTTTTTTTTTTCTGTCAGTTGTGGGGTTTGAACTCTGGGCCTGGGCGCTGTTCCCTGAGCTCTTCAGCTCAAGGCAAGCACTCTACCACTTGAGCCACAGCACCACTTCTGGTTTTCTGGTGGTTAATAGGAGATAAGAGTCTCATGGATGTTCCTGCCCTGTCTGGCTTGGAGCCACGATCCCCAGATCTCAGTCTCCTGAATAGCTAGGATTAGAGGTGTGGGCCACCAGCATCAGGCTTCTCCCAACTCTTTCTCTCCATTCTTACTTGTTCTGTCCTTCCCTCCTCCTGCTCCCTGCACAGACCCACTGCTGTGCCCAAGGCCACAGGGGCCAAGAGAGCCTTTACTACCACTATGGTGTTATTCTGAGCCAGCTGGAGAAGGTGATGTAGAGGTTGAGAGAGGAGGAAAAGTCATTGGGCACCCTAGCCCCAGGTAGATCAGGGATGAGATTTCGAAGGGTCTCTCTTTATGTCAAAGACCAGAGACCCCCCAAGACTTCTCTCCTTGTCTTCTTGGGCCCAGAGCTCTAAGAAGCACTCACTTTTTGCCAAATCTCTTCTTTAGACCAGGGGTGTCTGAGGCAGGGAGGACCAGCTCCTGGGGGTAAGAGCTAAGAAAAAGAAAAACGGAGCCTGTTCACCCCTGGTCTTTCCAGCCAGGAAAAGAAGCACTGGGTGAGAGCGTGGGGTGGAGGTGGGAGGGGGGGGTGAATCCTGGGACCAGGCAGGGGACATGGTGGAATGAGTGGTTAGGGTTGGCTGATGTGTTCTGCAGGATAACAAGAGTCTAGAATGGCAGGAAGACACCCAATCTCCTGGGAAGTATTCACTTGGGAGGCAACTGGGATTTGGGTTGAAACTGGCCATGTCGATAAGAACTACTTTCTTGGGGCAAACATCTGACCATAGGGGCTGATTGGCCCAGGGACCCTAGCCAAGGAGACCTCCAGTGCTTTGTTCCGCAATGCCAGTTCTCAGGAGTCCGAGTGATGAATGAGACTCGAGAGCTGATATTTGGTTTAAAGATGTTTCCAACACCTGAAAAAGGAGAAGAAGAAACTGGACTGGCTTCCACATGGTGGGAAACTGCGTTCTTCTCTCAATGCCTCTGGGTCATGTGTACATCTCAGCCTTTAACCCTACTCTCCTCCCTCTCCCCCACAAAGAATCGACTGTATGTACATAGGGCAACTAGATGCAATCCTGTCTGTCCTTTGTGTAAAGAATAGAGTAAGTCCTCCTCTGGCCAGATATAGTCCAGGTCAACGCCCACAGCTTTGGAAAGTGTATAGGCTGAGTTCCAATGACTCCAGTGAGCAACTTTGTGCAGAATACTACTTGACACGGAGCCCTTGGTTCCATGTCAGACTCAGTATAAGGCACTAAGGACGCAGAGAAGAATTAGACCTGGGTCCTGTCCATCGGGACAACTGCTTTGAAGACACACTCTCTACCTGACTGTGACCATTCTTTATACACTCCCACACCTCCAACTCTACCTTTGACACAGAGCTGTGTGAAGCAGAGCTCGCTGTCATGGTCCCGAAGCATAAAGTGGAAGTCCTCCCAGGTCAGCTCCTCCTTGTCCTGGAAACCTGACTCTCGGAACATGGACTCCATCACCTCGGCCAGCTGGGCCTTGGATAGGCAGTTGTTGGAGATCTCGATGAAGGATCTGGAGGACAAGAGACAAACAACCTGTTGCCCAGTGAGGTCAGGCTTAGGCCAAGTACAGGGAGGTGCAGATCCCAGATTCCTTAAAGTGGCTACCAGTGACCTGAGAAACAACATTGAGAACATGCTAAGTTCATAAATTCAGCTTGGCTAACTCACCCAAAGCTGGGAAAGGTAATGGCTAGGGGTCACCAGCACCTGGCTGTTTTGCTCTTTTAAGAGCCCATGTCAGAAAAGTGGGGCTATGGCTCAAGTGGTAGAGTGCTAGCCTTGAGCACAAAGAAACTCAGGGACAGCACTCAGGTCCTGAGTTCAAGCCCCATCTCTCTCTCTCTCTCTCTCTCTCTCTCTCTCTCTCACACACACACACACACACACACACACACACACACACACACCTGTGTCTAGCTGGAGTATCTAGACTGTAAGAGGTAAAAGTGTAGAGGGACAGAAACATGAAAAGTATCTGGGCTGCTATTTTTCATTCCTTGTTTATTTGCTCATTTATTTCACTCTGTCTTACTCCTTGAGCTAAGTATCAAATCCCTGCTCTGTGTCAATGTCAATATGGAAGAAACAGATGTTAAAAAAAAGAACAAAGAGAAATATGCCCTGGTGGTGCTGAAGCGGGGTATGTTACTGATGTCGGGTCCTCAGGAATGAGATGTTCATGATGCCCAAAGTTGGTCTTTCTTGGCATATCAAAACAAGAAATGGGCTGGGCACTAGTGGCTTATACCTGTAATCCTAGCTACTCAGGAATCTGAAATCTGAGGATTGCAGTTAGAAGCTAGCCCAGGTAGGAAAGTTCATGAGACTCTTATCTCCAATTAAGCACCACAAAACCAAAAATGGAGATATAGCTTAAGTGGTAGAACACTAGATTTATGCAAAAAAAAAAAAAAAAAAAAAAAGCTCAGGGACAGCACCCAGGCCCTAAGTTCAAGCCCCAGGATTGGCACATATAAATAAGACATGGTGGGCTGGGAAGGTAGCTCAATGGTAGAGCGCTTGCTTCGCATGCCTTGCCCTGGGTTCAATTCCTCAGCACCATATAAACAGAAAAAGCTGGAAGTGGCACTGTGGCTCAAGTGGTAGAGTGCTAGCCTTGAGCTGAAGAGCTGAGGGACAGAGCTCAGGCCCAGAGTTCAAGCCCCACAACTGACAAAAAACAAACAAACAAACATGGTTTCACACACAGAATAAAAGGACTGAAACTCTCCATGTTTCTCCTACCAGCTTGTCATGCTGATTAACATTAGGTGAACAACCTTCATTCATCCATCATTGCATCATGTAAAGATCAGTGTTCAGCATACAGCAAAAGAGTTGACAAGAATTCAAAGACATCCAAAAGGATTATATGAACTTTTGCTGTTGGTTACACTGGAGTTTTTTGTTGTTGCTGTTTATTTTTGTCAGTCATGGGGCTTGAACTCTGGGCCTGGGTGCTGTCCCTCAGCTCTTCAGCTCAAGGCTAGAGCTCTACCACTTGAGCCACAGTGCCACTTCTGGTTTTCTGGTGGTTTATTGGAGATAAGAATCTCACGGGGTTTCCTGCCCAGGCTGGCTTTGAACCCCGATCCTCAGATCTCAGCCTCCTGAGTAGCTCGGATTACAGGTGTGAGCCACTAGCGCCTGGCCACACTGGTATTTCGTTGTTGTCGTGTTAGCTAGGGAGACTTTTCTGGCTGTTGTGGACAATGGAAATATAGATCCTGCTCAAGGCAGAGGTGTGGACAAGGTAAACTGTGGGTGCTCTGAGAGTCTATGATGTAATGTCCCCTTTCAACACAGGTGGACACCTAGCCTTGCCTGTCCTTCTTTGGACTTGTTTTCCCATTGAAACCATCAGGCTGTCTTAGGATTGCCAGGGCCCACTTGGTACCGCATCATGGTGAAGAATTCATCCTTGGAGAGGAAGCCATTCCCATCCAGGTCATACATGGTGAACATCAGTCGGGACTTATCTTCTGGGGAGCCTGAGAGAAAAAAAAAAAAGACGTGTGTGTGGAGGGGGGGATTCAGGCTACTTCCCTGTTTACAGAACCCCGAAATGGCCTGCCATCGTCCATGCTTCTACCTTTCATGAAGACCACCAGGATGTCCAGGAACTCGTGGAAGGACAGGTAGCCATTGCCATCTTTGTCAGCCAAAGAGAACATGGACTCCACAAACATGTCCTGAGGCCTGAGACCCAGGGACTCAGCAAACTCAGCCCTGCTCAGCTCACAGGTCAGGGCTTCTCGAACCTTCTGGGATGAGTCCACTGGCAAGGTCCCTGCATCCGCCTGGTTGATGTTTAACACCTGTACTTGGGCAGCCACAGAGGAAGGGGAAGAAGGCTGTGAGGCTAGGTGGAATACAACCCCAAAGTCCAATGCTGAACAGTTGAACCCTGCTGATACTTAGGTATGCTAACCGGAGCCTCTGCTCTCCTAGGGAAGTCAAGTGAATAACAGCAGCCTTCCATTTCTCCTTAGGCCTGAGCACAACAGAGAATAATGATGGCAGAAGGAGGAGGTGGGGAAGGGAGGGTGGATGGGTGGGGTGCAAACTTGGAGAATGCAAAGTAAAACAACCTGCACTGGGGCAGGAAGATGTTGGTCATAGACGTGGCAGGAAGAGGCTAGAAATGGGAGCTTATGTCAAACACAGATTCGTGAGTCTTACTCCCCAGCAAGCTGTTTGGGAAGGAAACTGAGAAGCTGCATTTCTAAGTACTCTGGTGAGGTTCATGTTGGTCTAGGGATGAACATTTGAGAATCTGTCACGTTGGGTAGCTCACTGGGTCTACTCCACAGTGTGTGTGTTGGGTTGGGAAGGTGGCTCAGTGGTAAAGTGTTTGCCTTGCATGCTTGAAGCCCTAGGTTCGATTCCTCAGGACCACATAAGCAGAAAAAAAGCCAGAAGTGGCGCTATGGTTCAACTTTGAACTGAAGAGCTGAGGGACAGTGCCCAGGCCCAGAGTTCAGACCCTGCAACTAGCCAAAAACAAAAACACAAAACAACAACAACAACAAAAAAGTGTGTGTGTGTGTGTGTGTGCGTGCGTGCATGCGCATGTGTACACACGTGTGCCAATACTAGGGCTTGAACTCAAGACATGGGCGCTTGAGCTTTTTCACTCAGGACTAGTGGTCTACCACTTGAGCTATAGCTTTTTGGTGGCTTATCCCAGACTTTTCTGCTCAAGCTGGCTTGGAAATACAATCCTCAGATCTCAGCCACCTGAGTAGCTAGGCTTACAGGCATGAGTTACCAGCACTGGGCTTTAATTACTGCTTCATAGATGACAACATGGAAATAGAGAGCCCAGATGATGTGAGTTTCCTAACATCACATAGTCCACAAGGGTCACAACCCAAGCTGTCTGCCTCCCACCCACAGGATGGAAGCTTAGCTCACTCACATAGAAGGTTCTGCCCAACCCAGGTTGGTCTAATCCCCTATGCCAGTCTCCCCCCCCCCCCCCCCGCCTCCAGAAGGCACAAGTCATGGCACCTGAGCAAAAAGATGCCTGAAGAAGATCTCCAGGATGCAGCCTCGCTGTTGCTTAGTGACAGCCTTCTTGAAGAGCTCACTCTCGCTCATCTGAGCCACACGGAGGCCTGGACTCCAGCACTTACAGAGGTCCTGCAGTTGCTGCACAAAGGCGCCTCGCTCCTCTTCTGAGTTAAACTGCAACACCTAGGTGAGAAGGAGCCCCCCACACCCCCATGTCATACTTAAAGCTCAAACTTCTGGTCCAGCCTCCTCACAGAGGACATCAGGTTGGGAAAAGGAGAGAAAAGTCCCTCCCTATCCATCCAGGCTTGGGCCAGGTAGGTAGTCTTGGAGGCGGGGGGGGGGGGGAGGATGGTGGTGGTCAGGTAGAATTTGGGGAGCCCCTTTCCCAGCATCAGCCTTCCCAGGCGAGCATTGTGGCTGCGGATGGAGTAGTCATCTGAGAGGGAAATATATGTGAGAACTCCTGTGTGGGCAGGAGGGGCTGTACCAGGTCATACTCCTTGGGGATCTTGAGCAGCAGTGTCCTGCATCCCCGGTTGCTGGACAGGATAAGGTTGACCTGCTGCAGGGGCTGCAGCTGGATGGTGCGAAGCACCGTGAGCCCTCCGTCCAGCACCTGTAAGCACTTGTCCGGGAGCAGCCGGATGGTGATAGGATAGCTACTCTCCTTGGGGCCTGGCCACTCCATCCCTGGGAAAGAGACACTGGGCAGAGTGAGTCATGGGAGTCTGCGCAGGACATCAGCTCTCCCCCCCACCCAACTCTGTGATTTAGTTTTTTCCTCAGACCTCCCCCCCCCCAACCCCACCATCTCCTCTTTCTCCCTCCTTCTCCTCTGCCTCGGCTCACCTGTCACTCCAACTTTGATGGCTTCATCCTTCATGCTCTCTTTGCCTTTCCTTTGTAGCTTCTTGCGCTCTTGGTTCCGGAAATGAGCCACCACCCCAGCCATAAGCAGACTCACTGAAGAAGACCAGAGAAGCCAGTCAGGAGGACATCCCCTTTGATCCAGCAGCTTCAGATGCTGCTCCTCCCTTCTGAAGACCTCCCTTCCCCCCCCCCCCCCCCCCCGCCCCGTCTCCACTCCAGGAGCCTGGCCTCAAGCTAATCCAAAGAGTTCATCCCAGGAGCCAGTGCAGCTCAGAGGGGCTGAGCTAGTCTGTGGGGGAGAGAAGAGACAGCAGGAGGAGGTTGAAGGACTCACCTAAGGGAAAGCAGCAGAGAGCCACAATGACAAGGCCATAGCCCGCACCGCTGCCCTTGAAGTAGTCAGTCACAGTAAGGGGCACACAGTTGGGCAAGCCTTCAGTTGTGAGCTGCCGGGGCTGTGGGCAGGGCGCACCTAAGAGACAGAGCACAGAAGAGCCCCAAGTCCAAGGGCCCTCTCCTTGAGCAGGTGTGATTCTGCATCTTGGAAAAGACCAAGATATCCTACACCACCATCTTCAAGGCCTACCTCCCTGGGCCTTGTTCCCCTTCCCAAATCCCTCAGCATCCACCCCAGATTGACCTGCTGTGAGAATTAGCCAAATGTAGACCTCTCCACCCAACACAGAAAGCACCTGGCTCTCTGGATGTCACCAAGTCACCAAGTAGTTCCGTCTCCCCGCTCCCACCTCCACCCACCAGGTGCTCCTAGGCTACTCACCTTCCTGCCAGACAAAGACATTGGGCTGCAAGGAGCTAGGGTCAACGTTAGTGACCGCTACCAACACATCCCGGAGGGTGGTGTTTCTGATTTCTGCAATCTCTTCCTCGGAGAACAGCCTGGGTTGGAGAAAGGCAAGAGTTATCAGAGTAGGAAGAGAATAGGAGCCTCTGGAACCCCAAACCCAAGGACCTAGATGAGAAAAGAACCCTAGAGGGCATGAGTAGGAGGGCTGGAATCAACACCTCTAGGGGGCCATCCTGGTCCAGGCTGAGGTCGAGGCTGAGGTGGGGTCCAAAGCCAGGTCTTACCCATTCTTGGTGTTCTCAAACCAATAACGGTCACCATCCCTCAGTCGCACAAACTGATTGAGGATGATGTTGCTGAATAGGGGTCCAGGGTCTCCATAGCTCTCCAGGAGCCCACCCAGGAGTAGCTCTAGCCGAGACAGGTCCTGGTTGTACAAGGCAGCTGTAGCCTCCAGCACCTAGGGCATCATGGGAGGTAAATAGTGTCTATGCATGTGTGTGAACTCGCCAACAATGTCATCAGTAAAGTGGGAGATGTTGAAAAGTATCTATACTATATGTATATGGCCAGGCACCAGTGGCTCACACTTGTAATCCTAGCTACTCAGGAGGCTGAGATCTGAGGATGGCCCTTCAAAGCCAGCCCAGGCTGGAAAGCCTGTGACACTCTAATCTCCAGTTAAGCACCAGGAAACTGGAAGTGGTGCTGTGGCTCAAGTGGTAGAGCACTGGCCTTGAGCTGAAGAGCTCAGGGACAGAACCCAGGTCCAGAGTTCAAGTCCCACGACCGACAAAAAAACAAACAAACAAAAAACTGTATAAGGATTACACATAAGCTAACATAAAGGATTTGAGGCAGCATTGCCATGGGAAAGCTTCAACTGTCGTTATTATCGTTATTCTTCTTTACCTGGGGTTCTACCTTGGGGTTGAGGTCCCTCCAGTTCTTTGGGGGCTCCTGTCCCAAAGCCAGCATGGCTTGGCTATAGCTGGGCAGCCCCATATCTCGACCACGTTGGATGCTGCTGGCCACGTAGTCTGTGCGGGAGAACTTGTCAGGGCCAGGCCAATAATCTGAGGAAAGATGGGACTTTGAAGTTAATCCTCTCAACACTTCCTTTGCCTGCAGTCTTCTATCCATCTGTCAGTACTATCACACCCTCAACACATACACAGACATACACAGAGTCCTCCACATCCCTCTCCATGAGATCTATGCCCACATTGGCCTTGTCTTGGTGTGGGTCCAATGTTATTGTGTGTTTTTGTCAAGATTCTTCTTCTAAGACTCAAGATGGATCTTTTTTCTTTCTTTTTTGTCACTCAGGGCCTGAGTGCTGTCCCTAAGCACTTTTGCTCTAGGCTAGTACTCTACCACTTTGAGCCACAGCTCCACTACTTCCGGTTTTCTGGTGGTTAATTGGAGTTAAGAGTCTTATGGACTTTCCTGCCCAGGCTAGCTTTGAACCAACATCCTCAGATCTCACCTAGGATTATAGGCATGAGCCACCAGTGCCCAGCTTCAAGATGGTTCTTGATATAATGCAGAAATTACATGCCCTATGCCTCCCCAACCTTAAAGCAAGATTGGATGAAAATATTCACCCCCACACTCCAATACTCGTATCTGATTTAAGTTAGAAACAACATAGAACTGTGTATTAGGAGAGAGGAAGCTCAAAGTTTCATTTTATTCTGATGAGTATTTGAAGTCTGTGTGTACATCTTTGCTTCTGGATCATGGTCATTCTAGATCTACCTGTTGACCCACCCAGAAGGATCCCCAGTCTCCCTGGGGATCTGGCTCCCATCCCTTCCAGCTCTAAGCTTACCCCTCAAGTCTTCGATCACTATCCTGTCCTCCAGTTCTGAGATCTGCGAGGCCATTCCCAGTAGCAGTTCATTCACATCCTGGGTATTCTTCAGATTAGGATTCTGAAAGGAAGCAAACAACTCATTCAAGATAAGTTATAGGGTCCTTCCCAAAAACTCATTCCCTCTTATCTTGTAGGTAAGAGTTAAGCACTTTGGGACAAAAGCTTCACACACACACACACACACATACTTTCTTCCCCTTTTCCTTTCCCCTTTCCCTCCCTACTTTTTTGTCTTTTTTTTTGGTCGTGGGGCTTGAACTCTGAGCCTGGGCGCTGTCCCTGCGCTCTTCAGCTCAAGGCGAGCGCTCTACCGCATAAGCCACAGCACCACTTCCAGTTTTCTAGTGGTTTATTGGAGATAAGAGTCTCATGGACTTTCCTGCCCGAGCTGGCTTTGAACCGCGATCCTCAGGTCTCAGCCTCCTGAGTAGCTAGGATTACAGGCATGAGCCACTGGTGCCCAGCTTCTTTTGTCTTTTTATCTCTTCAGAAAGCCTTCATTTCTGTTCCTGCTCTACCCCTTCTCTATTGTCTTTTAGTCTTGTTAAAACGCTCAAGCTGGCCTTGAATTCTGGGGTTCAACCAATCCTCTTGCCTCAGCCTTCTAAGAGGCTGGGATTACAGGCATGTGTCACTGCCTGAGCTCTCTTGGGAAGTTGTCTCAAGGTGATTTTTTTTTTCTTGCCCCTTTCCCACCAATCTGGATCACCCACACCATTAAGTCAATTTTTTTTCTAAGAATTTGTAAAGACATTGATCATGACACACATGCACACCCCTATCCCTCGTTTCAGCCTGACCTCCCGAATCCAGTAGCTGTTGCAGACCCTGAGAGCTGGAGAGCTGCCCAAATCCTTGTTCAGGACTTCCCGGAAATGACAGCTGGAGTTTCTGAAATGAGAAATCGGGATGAGGTGAAGGAATTCAGGGAAGAAAGTAAGATGGGGTTCAGTAAGGTTAGGGACTCCGTTGTGGTTGGCCAGGATTGAAAGGTGGCTCACAAACTTCCTTGAACATAACAGGGATATGACAATGTATTTTTTTTTTTTTGTCGGTCGTGGGACTTGAACTCTGGGCCTGGGCGCTGTCCCTCAGCTCTTCAGCTCAAGGCGAGCGCTCTACCACTTGAGATACAGCGCCACTTCCGGTTTTTTCTGGTGGTTTATTGGAGATAGGAGTCCCACGGTCTCTCCTGCCCGGGCTGGCTTTGAACCGCGATCCTCAGATCTCAGCCTCCTGAGTAGCTAGGATTACAGGCGTGAGCCACCAGCGCCCGGCTAATGTATTTTTTTTTTAATTAAAGAAAGAGTAAGCTGTTTGTCCACACAGGATAAGTAGGGAATGAGGGAGGAGGGTGACCTATCTGTTGGACAAATCACATATTCTGCTACCAAAATTCTGTCATTAGGCCCCGTGCTGGTGGCTCACACCTGTAACCCTAGCTACTCAGGAAGCTAAAATCTGAGGATCCTGGTTCAAAGCCAACCCAGGCAGGAATTAACTACCAAGAAGCTGAAGTGGAGCTGTGGTTCAAGTGGTAGAACACTAGCCTAGAATACAAAAGCTCAGGGACAGTGCCTAGGCCCTGAGTTCAAGCCTCAGGACTAGCATATACCACACTCACAAATCTGCCATTAGAAAAACTGGAGATTTCCCTATTGAGATCACACCAACCATGTATAAGTGTCCCAAATTCTGCTTCCCTTTTTTTGAAACACAAAGAGGTGCATGAAAAGCCCCAGACCTCCAAATCCACCCCTTAGCACCTGGGATCATTGTGATGTACCTGTTGGCACCTCCCCCTCCCCCCCCCCAGGTCTTCCCTGACCTCATGTAGACACCAGGGGGCACCATAGTGGAGAAGAACTGCTCAGTGGCCACCACGAACTCCGGGGAGATGCTGGGATCAGTGAAAGGGTGGTACCCTGTAGTAAACAGGACACAAAACAGATCAGATCCCCACACCCACATCCTGGCATCGCATGAATCTAGCTGTCTTCTCCCCCCTATGAATCTTCAGCCCAGGGATTCCCAACCCCCTCATCCTCACCTGTATACGGCGGGGGCGTTTTCTGCAGGAAGCTGGGCAGCCACTCATACAGAGCAATGTTCTGAGGGGACAGGGCGGGGGGGGGGGGGGGGGACACACGTGTTGGGCTGGACCAGGAGGAAATCCGAGCCTAAGGGAGGCTGAGGTGCAGAGATGAGGGGCAGGGGCAGGACAGACTTCCGCAGGATCCAGATGAGCCCCGTCTCCCCATTCGGGGAAGACTTGAGGGGTGCGCATGCCAACTAGCTTCCCAAGCGACATCTCCCCCAGAAGCCGCGTTCTGGCCCCTACTTGTCATCCAGGGGGGGCTTTGCGTGGACATGAGGTCTCTGGGCACAGGGGCCTCCTGGAAGGGGCGTTCCTGGGTGGGGGTGGTCCCCGGGTTGGAGGAGCTCTGCGGGGAGTCCCGAGTGTCGGGGTACCGCAGGTGGATGGGGTGGGCACAGGGGAGGGGTGGCAGGTGCACCTGGTGGATGGGGTGGGGGGCGGGCTCACCTGGTGGATGGGGGTTGGGCTCAGCTGGTGGATGGGGCGGGGGGGGGGGGACGGGCTCACCTGGTGGATGGGGCGGGGGGGGGACGGGCTCACCTGGTGGATGGGGCGGGGGGGGGCGGGCTCACCTGGTGGATGGGGTGGGGGGCGGGCTCACCTGGTGGATGGGGGTTGGGCTCACCTGGTGGATGGGGGGCGGGCTCACCTGGTGGATGGGGGGCGGGCTCACCTGGTGGATGGGGTGGGGGGTCGGGCTCACCTGGTGGATGGGGTGGGGGGGCTCACCTGGAAGGTGGCGATGACCCTCTTGCGCGCGTGCTGGAACAGCTCCTCGTCGCCCCAGCGCGGCCGCTCCCGCGCCAGCCTGCGCGCGCACGCGTTGTGGTAGCGGAACCACAGCAGGCCCAGCGCCTGCAGGAAGGGCTCCCTGTTGCCCCGCGGGGCCCCGAAGGCTGCGAGCAAGCGGGCGCCAGGGGCTGAGCGGGGCTGGCGCAGGGGACGCGGGGGCCCGGGGATCCCCCCCCCCGCCCTCTGCGCGCCCCGACGCGTGCGGCCCGCACCCCGCGCCGGCCGGCCGGGCGCTCACCGTACAGCCCGCGGGGCCCGCCCTGGCCCGTGGCGGGGTCGGGCGCCGACCACATGAGCAGCGCGGCCTGCGGGTCCCGCGGGAAGTTGGGGTCGGACCCCGACGCCAGCTGTCCCCCGGAGAAGCTCCTCAGGGCGTCGCTCCACGAGTGCGAGGAGCCGTAGATGGCGCTGCCGTCCAGCCAGCCGCTCACCTGGTTGGTCTGGGGGGGGCGAGGGAAGGTCAGGGCAGGACTGGACCCCAGGGCTAGGCTGGGGGAGCCGGGGGGGACCCCCAAGTGCTAAGGCATGCCCAGCTCCTGGTGTGCGCGTCCTCACCAGGTCCCGGGGGTTACTGGGGCTCTGTCCGGTCTCGGGGTCCCAGCGGCTCCTCTGGAAGGGCAGCACCACGTCCCCGCGCCGCTGGGGGTCAAACACGGGGTCTCCGGGCGGGATGCGGATGTTGAGGAACTCGGCGGGGCAGCCGGGGGTCTCCACGCTCACCAGGTCGGACAGCACGTGGTAGCCTGGAGCAAACCCCCACCGTCGGGCCCTGCGCCGCCGGACCCAGGGCCAGGGCGGCCCCCAGGAGCCGAAGCACAGAGGTCCCCGCGCCGGCTCTGTGGGCCTCAACTCCTTTTTTTGGAGGGGGAAGGGGTTCGGTCGTGGGGCTTGAACTCGGGGCCTGGGCGCTGTCCCTCAGCTCTTCAGCTCAGGGCGAGCGCTCTACCACTGGAGCCACAGCGCCGCTTCCAGTTTTGGGGGGGTTTATTGGAGATCAGAGTCTCATAGACTTTCTGCCTGGGCTGGCTTTGAACTATGATCCTCCGCTCTCACACTCCTGAGTAATAGCTAGGATGACGGGCGTGAGCCACTCGGCACCTTGCTGGGCCTCAAACTTTCTCCATGGTAGAAGAAGCGTGGGAGAATCACAAGGATGGAATGAATAGCAAGCCCTCACCCCTTCTTCATTTGAGCAAACCAAGTCCCTGCCCCTCTGTGCCTCAATACTATCATGGGGGGGGGGGGGTTGGAACAGAGATGGGGTGGCAAATGTCCCTTGCACAGACAGACACTCCAAAGCCTTCCAAGAACGAGGAGGCAGAGCAGACATGCAGCTTGGGGATCCGGGCTGGTCTCTTGAAGACTGGCAAGGGAACCCCAACGTCCCCACCCCTCCCGACCCCTCACTCCCCAACTCCCACCTCCGGGGGTGTTAAATGGCTTCCCTCCCCACCCCACTCCCTCTTTCTTTTGCGCTCACCATAGAAGACGCCCAGCACCGTGCGGTTGCGCAGCGACGCCATCCCGGCTCGGCCCCGAGCCACCGCATCGCTCAGCCGGCGAGGGTTGGGCAGCAGCGGCTCCTCCAAGGCCTGGTAGACGCCATCCGCGTAATGGGCCGGGACTAAGCGCTGCAGCCGCGAACCTGGAGAAGGCAAAGGGCTAGGTTCTGTGGAGCACTGGGTTACCCCCCACCATTCATGCATTCGCCCCCCCCTTCCAGCCCTCGACCTTTTCTGCCATGTCCCTTTGGGGGGGGATAGAGAGGTTGGGGAGGTAGGAATGAGGTGCATTAGAAGCTGGGCTGAGTGCCCGTTACCTCATCTCACACTCTACAAGCCAGGGCTGCTGTGCACTCCCCCGGCTTCTGCAACCCCCCCAAAAACACCCATTCCAACACCCCGACTTACCAACCGCCCCGCGTTCATGGTGCCTGAGATTGTTGAACCAGCCGTCATAGCGCTGCACTTCCCAGGCCAGTGGGGGCGCATCCTGGCCGCCTGGGGGGGGGGCACCCAGAGATATCCTTTTAGCACTGTGTGCCCCCCCAGACCCCTTCCACCCTCCCATCATTTGGACCCAACATCCCAGATTGAACAGCCGCCTGTCTGCACATCTTTCTTCCTATACCCCCAGCATGTACCTCTAAAATTAGGGTGCTTACCCACTGCATCCTCCACGGGTCCAGTCAGCAGAGTTCCCAGGAATATCAGGGCTCTTGCTCTCAGCATGGTGTCTCTGAGTCTGGGAGTGGAGTTGAGGGGAAAGGATTTGAGAGGGGTGCACACACACACACACACACACACACACACACACACACACCAGGAGTTTCTACTTCTGGAGCATCAAGAACCTACATCTGCTGGGGCTGGGAAGGTGGCTCAGTGGTCCAGTGCCTGCCCAGCATGCATGAAGCCCTGGGTGCCATTCCTCAGTACCACAGACACAGAAAAAGCCGGAAGTGGTGCTGTGGCTCAAGTAGTAGAGTGCTAGCTTTGAGCAAAAGAGGCTTAGGGGACAGTGCCCAGGCCCTGAGTTCAAGCCCCAGGAGAGAGAGAGAGAGAGAGAGAGACAGAGAGAGAGACAGAGACAGAGAGACAGAGACAGAGAGACAGAGACAGAGACAGACAGAGACAGAGACAGACAGAGACAGAGAGACAGAGACAGAGACAGACAGAGAGAGGAGAATCTACATCTTCACTCTTTCCAGGAGAGCTGGCTCTTTTCCTACCTTCACCCCCTCCCCACCATCCCAGGGCTAAAACTTCAATCACAGAAACCCACTGGGAACCATCTTGGACCCCATACCAGTCCTAGACAGCACTGGCCTAGTTTTCTAGGAGGTTCTAGCCCAAAGCCTGGGGGCCACCCGCCCCCGTCCCTCCCCACCCCCTATCCCAGTTCGCTAGGTATTACTTCTGCTCATCAGAAGAACTGGCAACCCAGGACTGGCACCTTCCCCCTCCACGCGCACCCCATGCATGGAAAGCGAGGGCTAAGGAAGACCAATAACCGTTCTGCCCTCCCCACCCCACCCGCCTCTCACCCCTAGGTCAACCCCGTCTCCCGGCTGCGTGCGGCGCCGCCGGCGTCCGCTTGGACTGTGCAGCGGGTGTGAATGTCTGCACCGCGGGGCTCTCCCGCCTGCGGGGTGGGCGGGGCTCCCGTCCTATTTGCATACCCGCCCTTCATTTGCATAGCGCCTGTCCCGGGCTCAGACCCCGTATAAAGACAAAAAACAGGTGCGGGTCTCCCCCGGGGACTTCCAACCGGATCGCAGCCGGGAGAACTAACCCCGGAGCGCTGGGAGGGTTTTTGGGGTGGGGTGGGGGGACCTCTCTCTGCGCTCAGACTGAGCTCGCTCACACTTGATTGGCTTTTGTCCCCACACTCCAGCTCGCTCTGGGGGCGCAGAGCTCCCCCCCCCAATCCACCTCCCCACCCCCGCTTGCAGGATGACCCTGTGGAACGGTGTGTTGCCTTTTTACCCCCAGCCCCGGCATGCTGCTGGCTTCAGCGTCCAACTGCTCATAGTCATTCTGGTATTCCTGGCCTTGGCTGCCAGCTTCCTGCTCATTTTGCCTGGGATCCGTGGTCACTCGGTAAGAGGGGTGCTAAAAGCTGGGGGGAAGGTGGGGGTGTTTGGGTGGGGGGGGGCGGAGAAGGGGGGGAAATCTTAGGGAGTCCTGCCTAAAACCCAGGATAACCAAGACCATTGCAAGGATCTCCAGAAATATTCAACATAAGGTCAGGAGAAACGAATTCAGAAATCTAATTGGATCAAGAACAACTCCCCTACCCCCACCCCTTTTTCTTAAACCAAGAGCAGGGAGAGTTCCTGATCCAAGGTTTCCTGGAAAGGAACCCCAGCTGTGGCAGAGAGTGGGCACCCAGTCTAATAACCAGCTCCATGATCTCCCTCTACTGCGATCAAACTATCCTGTCCTCCAGGTGACGGCTTTCCTGCCAAGAGGACAGACCCCCGCGGCTGAGACTGATGTGTTCTCCTTTGGTCTTGGCCCAAAAGAGGGGTTTGGCTGTGCATGGGTGTCCTATTCTTAGGGACTAAGAGAATCCCACACAGGATTTTTTTTTTTTTGGTCCGGTTGTGGGACCTGAACTCTGGGCTTGGGCGCTGACCCTCAGCTCTTCAGCTCAAGGCTAGCGCTCTACCACTTGAGCCACAGCGCCACTTCCGGCTTTTTTCTTTTTGCTTATGTGGTGCTGCGGAATCGAACCCAGGGCCTCAAGCATGCAAGGCAAGCACTCTACCACTGAGCCAACTTCCCAGCCCCATCCCACACAGGATTTTTAAGTTGTAGCAGACTACAGTCATTGCCTTAGACTTTCCCTTCTTCCAGACCCTAGATTGTGCTTTTGCTTTTTTTTTTTTTCTTTTTTTTTCCAAATACAAGACCACCCTCAATCTTAGTGCCTGTCAATCTTTTTCATTTTAGTTGCCAGGGAACCAATGTACTTAGTAATACCTACATTTCCACCTCGTTTATTTGGCCACCAAGCCCTGGGGCCTCCCTCTTTTTTGGGGGGGAGGGGTAGTCCTTGCTTTCTTTCCTAATACTTCTGAACTCACTGAGCCTCACCAAGCAGTGGCTGGGGAGAAGTGAATTGGGGGCCAGGTGCCAGATAACTAGGGGTGTAAAAGTGCCCAGAGAGTACTAGGCAGGGTGGATCTGGAAATTGGACACCAGGTAAGGTAGAAACATATGACCAAACAACAACAACAACAAAAGCACCCTCAAAATGTCAGTGGTCCAGGAAAAGCACATGTTGACATCAGCAGTTAAAGGTCGGGAGTGTGGCTGAGATTGAAGTGGCAGGGAGTGGAGGGAGAGGCCTTGGGGGCTGACTTGAGTGTCTGTTCTGCAGCGCTGGTTCTGGTTGGTGAGAGTTCTTCTCAGCCTGTTCATAGGAGCAGAAATTGTGGGTGAGTATGTGATTCAGCCTGAGGGAAGGGGGAAACAGGTGGGGAATGAGGTGGGAAGAGGGTACCTGGGGAAATGGGATCTGCTTCCTCTTCCCACTTCCTACACTTTTCTTTATCCACTCTTGAATATGCATTTTTTTAAACAACAACAACATATTTTGGTCTTTTTTTTTGGGGGGGGTCCGGTTGTGGGGCCTGAACTCTGGGCCTGGGCGCTGTCCCTCAGCTCTTCAGCTCAAGGCTAGCGCTCTACCACTTGAGCCACAGTGCCACTTCTGGCTTTTTTTTTTCTTTTTGCTTATGTGGTGCTGAGGAATCAAACCCAGGGCCTCAGGCATGCAAGGCAAGCGCTCTACCACCACGGAGCCATTTTCCCAGCCCGGTATTTTTGGTCTTGTATTTTGTTTGGTTTTGGAAGCACCGGGATTTGAACTCAAGGTTGTGCTTGCTAAGCAGTGGTCCGCCACAGAACCATGCCCCTCCAGCGCCCTCCCCCTTTTTTTTGGCACCAGTTATTTTTGACCTTAGGTCTTGCTTCTAGCCTGAACCACCATCCATCTATTTTAGGCTCTCTGTACTAGCTAGGATGGCAGTTGTAGGTTGCCACCCCAAGAGTCTTTTGGTTGCAATGGGCTTTTCTGAACAGCTGGCCTCCAGCTGGTCTCATTCTCCTAAGCAGTGGCTAGGATTGCCAGTGTGTGAGGCAGGAGCACCTGGCTTGTGTTAGTTTGTTTCTTTGAGACCTGGACTCACTGTCGCCCCTGGTCTGTCTGTCCTGCCTCTGACTGGAACTCTGCGATGGCAAGTGTGTGACACACGCCCACTCTTCACTACTTACCCTTCTGCTCTTCTCTGTGCTTCTGTTGGAATCCCCTAGACTCCTCCCCCAGCTCTTTGGACCTCCTAGACCGCCCCCCCCCAGTTCTCTGGACCCCCTAGACCCAGTTGTCTTCTGTTTCATTACTCTCCTAAATTCCATTCCCCCCCTACCACCACCATATGCATTTCCCCACAGCTGTGCACTTCAGTGGAGACTGGTTCGTGGGCAGCGTGTGGACCAACACATCGTACAAGGCGTTCAGTGTGGAGCGTGTGCAAGCCCACGTCGGTCTGCACGTGGGGCTGGTGGGCATTAACATCACCCTCAGAGGTGAGGCCATGGTTGAGGGAGGGAAGGTGGGAGGGAGGGGAAGCTGCCCTCTTCTCAGCCCTCAGATTGGGGGGAAACACACACACACAGACACACAGACACACACACACACATCTCAGCACCACCAAACCTTTGGTATTGGTAGAGTTGTGATTTCTCCCAACCGTCAACCAACCCATCTGCATCCCCCCCTCCCCATCCCAACCCCATGGGCGCCCCACCCAATGGAAATCAGTTTGGTTTCCGGGTCCATGACCTTGTACGGGGGTGTGTGTGTGGGGGGGGTCCCCCTCGTTTGACCCCACCCCTTCCTCCCCTCCCCGCCCTTGCAGGAACCCCAGTGCAGCAGCTGAACGAGACCATCGACTACAACGAGAGGTTCACCTGGCGTCTGGACGAAGACTACACCAAGGAGTACGTGAATGCCCTGAAAAAGGGGCTGCCGGACCCCGTGCTCTACCTGGCAGAGAAATTCACCCCGACCAGCCCCTGCGGGCTGTACCCCCAATACCACCTGGCGGGACACTACGCGGCGGCCACGCTGTGGTGAGCGCGGGGGGCGCGGAGCGGTGTGCGGGGCGGCGGGGCCGGGTGCGATCACCGACCGATCATCGATCGATCGCGGGGACCCGATCGCGGGACCCGGTCCCCCCCCCCCCAGGGTGGCCTTCTGCTTCTGGATCGTCGCCAACGCGCTGCTGTCCACGCCCGCCGCGCTGTACGGGGGCCTGGCGCTGCTGGCCACCGGCGCCTTCGCGCTCTTCGCCGTCTTCGCCTTCGCCTCGGTCTCCTCCGTGCCGCTCTGCACCTTCCGCCCGGGCTCCGCGGCGCTCACGCCTCGCTACGGCGCCTCCTTCTGGGTCACGCTGGCCACGGGTGAGAACCCGAGGGCTGGGGGGGGGGGGGGGGGAGCGCGCACGCATGCGCATTTGGAGAGGGAACTCCCAAGGATAGCCCTCCCCACCCCCCCCACAACCACCAAAGGGGAGGGAGTGGGGGACAGGGCCCCCGGTTTCCAGCCTGGAGTCTTCCCTGCTGGGTCCGCTTCATGCCTGTGTCCCCCCTCCCCTTCCTGTCCCCCTCCCTCCCTCCCCCCCATACAGGCCTCCTGAGCCTCCTCCTGGGAGGGGCGGTGG